CCCTCATGACTCCATCAAAACCTAATTACCCCCCCAAAAGCCCCACCCCCAAATACCATCACATTGGGGATTAGGGTTTCAACATATGACTTCTGCGGGGGGACACAAACATTCAGTCCACAGTATTCTTCTACAGTGTCTTATTTGGCAATACATAAGAGAGAGGGGCACAATTAATGTCCTTTGGATAAATGGATAGATGGGTGGATAGATGGATGGATAAATGGATAGATAGATAGATGGAAGGAGGGTGGGTGGATGGGTGGATGGATAAGTGGGTAGACATCCTAATGAACTGACAGCTGTCAGGTTCTTGGTGCAGGTTGGAATCTGCCTTCATCGTGAAGGCTCACAGAGGTCATCCCGTGAGGCTGTGGGACCGCTTGCTCACCTCTGGAGGTAATACAATGCATTTGTGAAACTAGGCCCCTTGTGGTTTTGCTCATCAAACTACAAATAGCCCCACATGGTAATAAGTAGTTAGAACACAAAGAGCACCGGCTGCCAATCATGCCCCTGGTGCCACGGGTGGATATTGCTGGCATCCTTCCCCGGTCCTGAGTGGAGACCTGCAGCTGCGGCTGTAGGGACCCAAGGGGACAGCGGCTCCCCTACTCTCAGGGGATGGGAAATAATAATAAATTGTGTGGTCATTCCATATGCACTACCGCAATTTTTTTATCCAAAAAAAAGAAAAATTCCTGAGAAATAGTGGGCAGGGCAGATGTTCTTCATTTTACCCCTTTTCTTGGGGCGTGTACCCTGGATCTGGGGAGTGCAGGCCTGGCCAGGGTCACAGCTAAGGGCATGTCTCCTGGCTCAGGGAGTAGAGCAGAACTTGCCCATCAGCCAGCACAGGTGGGCTCTAGAGGCCAGCTGTTGGGGACGCGCCCAGCCTACAGGGCTGCTAATGTTCACTGAGCTCTCACTGTGCTCCAGGGGCTGTGCACAATCAGAGAGTCTTTAATCCTCACAGCAGCTTTGAGTTAGGTGAGCTGTGTGACTGGAATGTCAGGCGTGCCTAAGGGATGTACTGGGAACAAACCTGCAGAGTCAGGTCAGGGCTGGGCTGGAGAGGACCAGAGGCCATGCTAAGGATCCATCCATGGGGTGAGCAGGAGTTACCAGGGCCTTTTCACAGGATAGTGGCACAACCTGACTTGGTTTTCGGAGAGGTCATTCTGGTTTGAGGGTGGAGAATGGATTGGAGGGGGCAGGAGTGGAGGCTGAGAGGCATCAAGGAGGTCGCTGCTGTGGTTGGGCATGAGAGGTGGTGGGCAGGACTAGTGCTGGGACTTTGGCAAGCACGGTCTCCCAGGTCTGGAGAGGAAAGCAGCATGGAGGGTCACCGGAGAAGGAGCTGGATAGGAGGCAACAGTCAGACAAGGGGGAAGAAACCATGGACCATGGTCTTCCTTAGGCTCTGCCAACAACTAGCGCCGGGACCTTGGGCAAGTCACAGCATCTCTCTGGGCATTCGTTTCCCCTTAGCTCTGCTACCAACTAGCCCCAGGACCTTGGGCAAGTCATTCTGTCTCTCTAGGACTCAGTTTCCACTTCTGTAAAATGATGGGGCTGGATGCAGTCCATCTCGCCGCAATGACTCTGGGTCATTTGTACCATGGCCTAGTGCCTGGCACCGCCAGGAGCACCAGAGAAACTGCCAAGGTGGCAGGGAGTGGTGGGCACACGGGAGCCAGTTGGCATCACAGCAAGCAGAACGACAATGCTAAGGCAATGAGCAAGCTGCCCGGCTCGCCAGTGTGGCCGGGACACTGAAGTCAGGCGGTAGGGCTCCAGCCGGGCGTGGCAGCGCCGGGCCGTGAACCGCATCCTCTCTTTACTAACCGTCTTTATAACAACATGTTTTCTCAGCCGGGCAGTGCTGGGCCTCTGATCAAATGGCTTTTGCAATCCTCACTGTCAAGTTTCAGCTTGGGCTATGGAGCAGGAAAAAGCAAATGGTGAGGTGGCCTTGAAATCACCCCAGCCCTGCAGCTCAGTCTGCTGTATGTGAGGGACAGGGGGTCTTCTAAGGGTCGCTCCTGACCCTGCTGTTGCAGAAGCCTCTGGTTAGAACCCCACCTTAGAGCCGAGCTGAGGGTGCGCCCTGCCTCTGGGCTGAGCACCTAGGTGTACTTTTCCAGCACCACCTCGTCTTAGAAATGGGACAGGCCGTTGAGGGCAATGGCCAAGTGTCAGCGTGGCCAGGTTCAAAACCTAACCCCTTTTTACACACTTTTTGTACATTTCCAGCTGTATAGCTGTGGTGAGTGACTTAAACTCTCTGTGCCTCAGTTTCCTCGTGCCTGTAGAGAAAGGGCAACGAGGCCCAGTGTAACCCTATACACTGGGGACGATAATGCTACCTACTTTGCTATTAGGAATATTGAGTCAGAAAATACCAGTAAAACCTTTAGCACACAGCCAGGCCCACCGTAAATGCTCAATTAACTGACAGCTGTTACCGTAATTATGCATTTGCTGTCAGTACTCACTGAGCGCTGACGTTGTGCCAGGCTCAGGGGATACAGTACTATCCTATTAGCCTGGGAAGCAGGGCCCCTGGCCTCAGATTACCATCTGGAGGGCAGGCAGACAAGTTAACCCATGTGCCTTAACCAGTACACGTGCACTCTGCTAGTGACACAGGAGTTGGGACAGGAGCACACATGAGGGCCACCTGCCCAGAGCTGGGATTCTTAGTCCCCAGCAGCCTGCCTCCCTCCTGGTGTCTGGAATGCGCTCCCCTGGCTGGAAAGATCTCCCCTCAGATATCTGCATGACTCACTCCCTCGTGTGCATTCAGGACTCTGCTCATATGTCGCCTCCACACAAGGAGCCTTTCCTCATCTTTCTGTCTAAAATATCCCCACCCGCCCGCCCCCTTCATTATTCCACACCCTTCTCCTGCTTTATTTTCTTTATAATACTTATACTCTCCATGCTTATACTATGGATCCGTTTTGGAAAACATGTTTGTTGCCCATTTACCTACTACAAAGTGGGCTTGATGAGAGCAGGGTCTCGGGCTCCCACTCTTTATTCCTTCCTGTGTCCCCGGTAGATGCAGGAAGGAATAGAACAGGGCCTGGGCCCCAGCGAGCTGTTGATAAATGTCTCTGATGGAAATCAAAACCTGTCAGAAGCCGGGAGCAGTGGTCCAGGCTGTTGGGGGTTAGGGAGATCAAAGCCTAGTGCCCTGCTTTTCTCCATCCTTGTTCTGAAGCAGTTTGAGAAACACACACAGGAGGCCTCCTGGGGGAGGGAGGACATCCCCTTTACTCCTGAGAAAGCTGTTAGAGAACTTGCCTTGGTCGTGAGGGCTGAGTGGGCTTCCTAGCGCTCCCAGCCAGTTGCTCCCTCAATCTCAACCTTGAGATGGCCCACCCAGGTGTGAGTGTGGGCCTCCCCTGCAGAGTCACTGCCTCACTCTGGTGCAGGGTGAGGAGAGAAAGAAGAGGCTGAACCCCAGCTCTTACTGGGGTCTTTTCATTGTTTAGCTCCACCCAATGGACGCCTGTCACCCAAGGGGACAGTAAATGGGTGGGGGCGGATGGGTGTTAGTCTTAGAAGCAGAAGGATAGGAAATCAGTGTTCCCCACCATCACAGATGAGAGAGGATGGCGGCCCGGGCCAGGGTGGTGGTGTTGGAGTTGGAGAGAGGAGGACAGAGACAACCGACAGGACTTAGTAACTGACTGGACAGTGGGAGTGATGGTTCTGTGTGCTCACAGAGAGGCCAAGGATGAGGCCCAGGTTTTTGACTGGCAGGGGAATGGTGAAGCCATTTGGTTCCACTCTCGGCCCACTGCTAGACTGTAAGGTACTATGATGATTATTTTCATACAACTTCACTGGGCCATGGGGTGCCCAGATGTCTGGTCAGATGTTATTCTGGGTGTGTCTGTGAGGATGTTTCTGGATGAGATGGACGTTTGAATTGGTAGACTGAGTGAAGCAGATTGCTCTCCCTAATTTGGAGGGGCCTCCTCCAATCAGTTGAAGGCCTGAACAAAACAAAAGGTCTGACCCTCCTGCAAGGAAGAGGGAACTCCTGCTGTCTGACTGATTGAGCTGGGACATTAGTCTTTTCCTGCCTTTGGACTCCCGCTGAAACATTGCTTCTTCTTGGGTCTCGAGCCTGCCTGCTTTCAGACTGGGACTTGCACCATCAGCTCCCTTGGTTCCCTGCGGACTTGGACTGGAGCTACACGACTGGCTCTTCTGTGTCTCCAGCGTTCTGACTACAGATCTTGAGACTTCTCACCCTCCACAACCGTGTGAGCCAATTCCTGATTATAAATCTCTTTCTACATAGTTCAACATTTCAACATTCATATTTCAACATCCTGTTGGTTCTGTTTCTCTGGAGAACCCTGACTAGTACAGATACCTTTGTAAGAATTCAGGGAAGGGCCCTCTGCGGAGATGCAGCCATTGCCAAGGTGAGGGTCTGTGAGTGGAACAAGCCGGAGCCCATCTCCCACACTCTCTACCGGCTGAGGACTCTTGTCTACAGCACAACTTGCACAGACACACACGGTGGTGTAGACGCCATCGACTGAAACAGAGGACAGAGGGGCCGGCGGAGTTGATGGGTTTTAAACATGTTGGGTTTGAGGTGTCTGAAGGTAGCATGAGATTCAGAGTCTTTTTTTGTTTCTTTTTGTTCTTTTTCTTTTATTGGGTGAAATTCATATTAACATAAATTTAACCGTTTTAGAGTGTACAATTCAGTGGCATTGAGTACATTCACGATATTGTGCAGCCATCGTCTCTATCTGATTCCAAACATTTTCGTCACCCACAGAGGAGACCCCTTAACCAGTAAGTAGTCACTTCCCATTCCCACCTCCCCTCAGCCACTGGCAACCTCTAGTCCTCTTTCTGTTTCTATGGATTCATCTATTCTGAAAATTTGATATAAATGGAACCCTACATCACTTGACATTCTGTGTCTAGGTTCTTTCGCTTCACATATGTTGTTTCTCTTTAAGACCAAGGAGACAATGGGAAGGAGCCAGTCGAGGAGGGAGAAGTTGAAAACACAGGAGACAAGGAGAGGTAAGCAAGAGAGCACATCCCTGAGCACGTGCTGGAGGGATGGGATGAGGAGGGGGCCAGGGTGGACCGCCCATACACCAGTGGAGGGTGCCTCCCTCCCGGAGGCAAGGCAAAGGACATGGGAAGGGGCACATGTGACATAAGTACAGGTTTGGTGCCAGTCGAGGGGATTTCCATCTGATGCTTTCTATCTTCTCTGTAAAGTAAGTCTGCCATCTACAGAGAGGAGAGCAAGTGGTGTTGGAGGTTTGAAGAGAATGACGATGACGGGAAATAGGTGCTCTGGAGAAAGGGCAAAATCTGGCAGGGAAATACAGGTGGTTTTTCAGGCAATATTGAGGGACTGGATAAGATTGAGATCAGTGGATTCGTAGTGACGTTAATCTCTAGTGTTATCTGGCTTTATCTGCTGCTCTCAGCAGCCTGGACATGAGTGGTGTTTACATGTAACACTTGGAGCCAGGGCACCCATCCTGTGACCACAAGGACACAAGTTTCAGGGCTAAGCCAATACACCGAGGATGGCAGAGCAGAGGATGTCGGTAGTTGGGTGATCCTGTTTCTAAGTCAGGTCTCATTGCTCATCTGCTCAAAGCCCTCTAATGGCTTTCTGTCTCTCCAAGAATAAAATTCCAAGTCCTGTCCCTGGTCCATAAAGCCCAGCATGATCTGGCTCCCTGCTGCCTCTCTGATCTCATCCTTCTCCCCTCCCCCTTTCTCCATGCCAGCGTCTGGCATCCCTGCTGATCCTTGAATCTTTCCAGCACATTCCAGCCTCAGAGCCTCTGCCCTGGCTGTTCTGCTAGGCTGGGATGCTCTCAGCTCAGATGCCTGGCGTGTTCCCTCATTTCCTTCAGTTCTCTGTTTAGATGTCACCTCATCAGAGAGGCACTCTCTGACCACCCTCTTTCTAAGAGCACCCCCCCTTCATCGCTCTGTTCTCTTTCCCGCTTCATTGTTCTTCGGAGCTCATACCGGCACCTCACGCTTTATGGAATTATTTTTTTATGTGTTTATTCACACACACACACGCAGAAATGTGAGCTTCCTGAGAGCAGCACCCTGTTTAATTCCTCAGAACCTAGAACAGTGCCTGGTATTGGGGCCCAGGGCAGGCCACCCCAAAACATCCCTCAATAGCATGTGATTATTTTGAATTAAAGTTACTTGAGAAGGAAGAAGGGCATTCTGTCCCTCCTGTCTCTGTTCCCCCTGAAAGCAGGAAGAAAATCTCCCCTCTGAAAGGTGCTCTCCCTGCGTCCTTATCCCCAGAGCCAGGGACTCAGGGCTGAGAAGCCTGCAGAAACAAACCTTGCTAATTTACTACCCCAAGCCAAAACTCCGCTTAAATTGCTCACTATTAACACACCCCAAACCTAAGTTTCTTCGTCCTGTCATTCCTCACAAATTTATTGTTTCCGTGTGTAAAAGATATAAACACTGCTGCTTTGTTCACTCTCTGAGCATCATTTCTCTGTGATCTCCAATGCCTACATATTAAACTGGAATTGTCTCCGGTTAATCTGGTCTTGTGTCCGTTTTATTATTACTCTGGCCATGAGAACACTAGACGGGTAGAAAGGGGATTCCCGCCCCCTGGCAGCACTGGCACCTCGTAGGACTTCAACAAATCTTTATTGAATTAATGAATTAAAAGAAAAAGCCACAGGCCTGGATGAGTACTATGGAGGCACTGAACTGACCCCGGAACCACCCGGGTCCACATTTCTCATCACACGTGAGAGTTGCCAGCTGCCAGGATGTAGCGGCCAAGGCTGAGTCAAGGGACAGGGCACTGCCACCAGGGGCGATCGCTTGTTCGTTTCAACAAGAGAAGTCTCACCCTTCTTCTCCAGCCAGGACACACCTGTGTTTTCAGCACTCCTTGTCCCCAAACAGTTAGAGACTGTGCTCAATTGCAAATAACAGGAACCTGGGAGATAGTGGCTTACACAATTCGTGGTTTAAAGTTCCCAGCCTCACAGGGCTAGACTAGAAGTATGTGGTGAGGGCGGGCTCAGGGTCCCCTCATGTTCTCGGTGGCCCCAGCTCCTTCATCTTTCTGCCCCGCCCCTGCCCTGAGCATGTGGCCCTCGTACTCCTGCTCTCAAGTTGGCTACAGGCCCTCCAGCCTTCTGTCCATGGTCCAGGGAGGAAGAGGAAGAAGGACAATGGAAAAAACCCACGGGCCAGCAGAGCTTTCTCAGAACCCGACTCAGTGACTTTAATTTGCATCTCACTATGCAGAGCTACGTGTCATGGTCACCCCGCCTGCAGGACAGTCCATGCTTCTGTCACCCCAAACAAAACCAGGGTTCTGTTAGTGAGGAAGAAGATGAGAACTGATGATAAGCCAGTGGTTTCGAACTTTAGCAAGGCTCAGAATCTCCTGGACAGCTTGTTAAAACTCAGATTTTGGGGGCTGGCCCGGTGGTGTAGTGCTCTGCTTCGGAACTTCCCAGGGTTCGCAGGTTTGGATCCTTGGTGTGAACCTATGCACTGCTCATCAAGCCATGCTGTGGCGGCATCCCATATACAAAACAGAGGAAGATCGCCACAGATGTTAGCTCAGGGCCAGTCTTCCTCACCAAAAAACAACCACCACCACCTCAGATTTTGTCCCTTCCCCTCCTCCATCACCAGTCTCCCAGTTGATGCTGGTGACCAAGGAGCACACTTTGAGAACAGCTGGCCACTAGCATTGCCTGCCACCCCAGGGTATAGCACTGTGAAATATGCAGCGTTGGGGTGAGTTTGCCACTCAACACTGAATGGCTTATTCGTAGAGTGGCCACCACTGACTTTCAGAGACAACCTCAGTGTGGCTAACGTGTCAGCTGGTTTGGCTTTGTCCTGCCTGCCATCCTCCCACTTCCAATAGCCCACCTGCCTTCCTCTTTAGCCTACACAAGAAGCTGGCTTCAGAACCTTCTGGCCAAGCCATGAGTGGTTTGCCTAGACTTTCAGTCAAGGGGACTCTGGATCCCACTCCCAGGTGCATGGAAAGGCCAGGACGGGGCTGCTCCCGGCAGACCTTTCCTGAGACACTCCAAGCTGCCATCTCTGACAGGCAGGTTCTTCTGGAGAAGTACTCCATACCCTGTCACCCATGTCTGCAGGATTCATTGCTGCCTTTAGTTGCAAGCTTCTAACCATGTGTACTGCATGAAGATCTAAATGTCCCACAGCCAGAACAGCCTTCCACACAGCCAGGGGCCCACCTGTGCATCTGATGATGAGGTTATTTTTTAATTGAGATAAAATTCACACACTATACAATTCACCCCTTTTAAGTATACAGTTTAGTGGCTTTTAGTATATTCACAGAGTTCTGCAACCATCACAGAATGTTTTCATCACCCTAGGAAGGAAAGCCCACTGCCTTTAGCCATTACCCCCAGGCCTTGGCAACTGGCTTTCTGCCTCTGTGGACCTGCCTATTCTGAACATTTCATATAAATGGAGTCGTACAATATGTGATCTTTTGTGTCTGGCTTCTTTCACTGAGCATAATGTTTTCACAGTTTATCTACATTGTAGCACGTTTCAATACTTCCTTATATTTTATGGCCAAATAATATTTGATCATAAGGTGTACCACCTTTCGTTTATCCATTGATCAGTTGGTGGACTTTTGAGTTGTTTCTACCTCTTGGCTATTATGAATAATTCTGCCATGAACATACCTAGGAGTTTAATTGTTGGGTCATGTAGTAACTCTGTGTTTAACTTATTGCAGAACTGCCTTACTGTTTACCAAAACTACTGCACTATTTTACATTACTATAGCAGTGTAGGAGGGTTCCAGTTTCTCCTCATCCTCATCACCATTTGTTATTACCTTTTTGGTTGTGGCCATCCTACTAGGCATGATGTGGTAGCTCATTGTGGCTTTGATTGATGCTGTTATGTTAAAAGGATATGACTGAGCAGCCGGCCCTGTTGCCTGGTGGTTAATTTCAGCGCACTCCACTTAGGCAACCCGGTTTGCAGGTTCAGATCTTGGGTGCAGACCTACACCACTTGTCAGCCATGCTGTGGTGGCGACCCACATACAAAATGGAGGAAGATTGGCACCGATGTTAGCTCAGGGTGAATCTTCGTCAGCAAATATGTGAGGACTTGTCAGTTGTAAGGGAGGACTTACAAGTTGCTAAGGATCCCGGCCCAAAGGTGGAAGGCCCTGTTAATCATAAGGAGGCACCAGTCAGGCAGCATCTCAGCGCCTCCTGTGTGTTCAGCACCGTCACAATTAAATCAGTCAGCTCTTGCTGCAGGCCAGGCCCCCTGCAAAGCGCAGGAGATAAAATAGCTCCCATCACCCAGTAATTCCAGGAGGTAGACCGTGTTATCCCCATTTTAGAGATAAGGAATCTGAGGCTCTGCTGGGTTATATCACATATGCGAGGTCACACTGACTGGATCTGGGATTTGGACCCAGTTCTGCTTGACTCCAAAGCCAGTACACTTAACCATTACATTCAACTATCGTGAAGGACGTAAAAGCCTGAGATGTGGGGCTTGGTTTCAAACAACTGGGCAGTCCAGTTGTAGGGGCAAGCCTACAATGCGTGGAATAATGGCAAATTAAAGGAAAACAGTGTATAATTAATTCCTGAGGGGTGTGGTGGTGCCAGTCTTGGCTTGAGTAGGAGTTTGTATCAATCAGGATTCACTAGATTATGCTGTGGTAACAAAGAGTCTCAATGTCACAGTGGCCTAAAGGAACAAAGCTTTCTTTCTCACTCACGCCTCATGTCCCTCAGGGTTCACCAAGGATCTCTGCTCCGAACAGTCCCTCAGAGTCCCAGGCTGACAAAGCTGCCCCGTCTCGCGTGTTGCCAGGGGCTTTGCCAGAGTGAGAGAGATTGGCCAGTCGTGTGCTGGCTCTTGAAGCTCCTGTCTGGCACCTCGGTTCCCTCCACTCTCCTCACCAAGGCAAGTGATGGAGCCACACCCGACTTCAAGGTGCGGGGAAGGACCATCCATCATGTGCCAGG